GGTTCAGTAACTACCCTTGATATTTACCCTAACACTCTTTCTCACAATAATTTAACGTTCATTTCAACCAATTTCTCTTCTAAACTGCAGTTAGGAATAATTGGGTAGTTATTTAACACACACATATATTTATTGAAACTATCCCTTTTATTAATTGTTATTCTTGAATCTTCACAAAAAGATCATCTACACCATTTATAACAGGTCGTCCATTTAGTCTTTTCAAAGATAGTAGCATGTTATCAAGGGGAATCGTTGGTATAGCATTTACATCAATGACCTCAACTTCTACGATAAAAAAACAAATTCAAGTTAATCATCAGGCGTTGTGTTCAATCGGAGAACCATTAAAAATTACAAGGTATTTCTATTTCTTCATCTACGTTCATTCTTGTAATCTTTCGATTTATATATCAACTTTTAAAACAGATGTCAAGGAAACATTATCCTAGAATTAGATGGCTTAAACCCTACCAACCTACTATTAAAGAGATTTCAATACGGAAATATTGATCAGACAATGTCTAAAGAAACTGAATATTATTTAGGTATATATGATATCGAGAATAAACTTGATGTACGTATTATACTAATTGAACAATAATTATCTTGCTTAATAAGTTTTTTTTTAGAATTATGATTAAAACTTGGAACCGGTTTTACTTTTATATATTAAACTGAATAAAATAGTTTTTAACTTATAAAAATAAAACTAGCTCCAAACTCTAAATTATGATTTATTGATTTGTTAAATAGGAATCAATGCTAATAGTTAATAAAATCTTGAGTGGAGATCCTGTGCGTGGTAATATGGCCATTGATACTACAAAAAACTTGAAGAATGGGCAGTTTGTCAAGGTTCGTTAAAAATCGTTAAAATACTATATTTACTAAGAATAAAAAAATATGATAAAATTTGATATTTTTATTAATAAAATAGTTCATGTACAGAAAAAATTATTCGACAATCGAACCAATTCCAAAGATTTTTAATCATAACGGTAGTTATAATGTCGTTTGATGACTACTAATGAATAACCATTATTATTTTTAATATAACTCATTTAGTGTTTATTCATCTAATAAAAGGTATAAATATAGTGCTAGAAACATCGGATCGAGAGGAGATGGACTTTCCCTCTTCTCCACCAACTTTGAACAAAACAATTATTGAAAGAAATATTTTTGGTGGAATTAGTGAAAATGGAATAATCATTGGAAGAGGTGCTATAAATGAAAATCAAATTGATACTTCTTGGGTGTGCAATGTACCATATTCTTTTGCTAGTTTATCATTTTAAGGTAGTTCTTGTAGATAATTTAATGATAAAGTTACGTCACAAGTTTCTACATTTTGAGAAATTGCTTTATCTGTACAGTCACTGTCTTATTATAAAATCCTTCACTGATTTGCAGGCAAATTTGCCAGTAAATTTTTGATCCAAATTACTTTATTACTGGCTTTTAGCTAGTACCACTAATACCACTTTCGGTTACTTTTATTCACTTTTTTGAAAAATCGCTTGTAGCTCAAAATCTCGTTTATGAAACTGCCTTTTGTGTCAAATTTTGGTATATACTATGCCCTAACCTCACTCTAAAGTCAATCCTAGTCTTAAGATGTTACTTTAAGGGTAGAGTGTACTGTATATAGATTATTTTTTATATAACCTTGATAGTAAATTTTTTTATTTTTAATATTCTAAAAGGGTAGGGGGTATGTAGATCATTTGTCATATGATTTTAGTGGTACAATAATAATATTTCTTATAGCTACAGTACTGGACAGCAAGAAACATCCAAATTTTTTTAAAAGCACCAAATTTTAAAATTTATACTCAAATCTGATTGGCTATTTTTGTGTAACAAGATTCTGATTGGTTGAAAATCTATAAAACAATTTTTTTATATATTAAATACCAAAATTTTGATTAAATAGTAACTTTAAGCTTTAATAACTTTAAATTTATAATAAAAATAAAATCTATTTTAATAGAATTGTAGCTTAGATTAAAAGCAACAAATATATTTATATATAAAAAGTGGATATCTTTTGCTGTCTGGTACTGTATAATTATTTTTAACCAAAAGTTTATAATATATAGAACAAAAAATTCTTTCAATAATAGCAAAATTTTATAAATACTAGATATACTGTAAATTCTTTACACAAAAATTAATCTTAAAATTCATCTATATTAAAACTTAAATAACTTAAAATTTTACTCAGAAAATTTATTTTTGTATTTTAAGCAAACTTGTTCATCTTACAATTTTATATATATTTTAAAGGGGCAATTTCTATTTGTATACAGGGTATATATATATAGGCAATATAGATATCCCAAAATTTTAATTATAAAATCACCTATTAGCTTCTAACAAAAAAAATTCTTTGTAAAATTTTAGTATAAGCTATCTCTTGTCTGATCTTAAACCACTTTTATCTTAACTATAAGCAAGGGTTTAATTTTCGTTTGTAAAAATTGGTTTGATTAGTATATTGCACAAATATATAATTCAGCCTATATATAAACACTATATATAAATTAATAAATTTTCTTTTAAAAGTTTCAAGTTTATATCTTTTAAACTCATAGTTTAAAATCATAATTATGGTCTTTGGTTATCTAAACTAAACATTTAATTTCTGATTCAGATAGAATTTCATAAATATAAATTACTATTAAATATATTATAATTATGAAAAATTTTTTCCTCTATAGCTAACTAATTTTTTTATTATGTTAATATACTTTATCTTTTTAATTAAAAATATAGAGAATACTTTTTTATATATAATACAAAAATTTATTAAAATTGGTTTAGTTTATAAAAAGTTATTTATATTTAATTTTTTTGTAACTATATAAAATTTTTATAAGTATAAAGAAAAAAGATTTTATCCTCACTCTTTCTGATGATTTCTTAGTCAACAACAAAAAAACTAAACTATAGTAAAAAGTATAAGAAAGCAACTAAATAGATACTATTTTTGATCTTACGTTAAGTAGGCTATTGTTGATGAAGCCTAAGTCAAATATGATACACCAAGAAGTAGGCGTTTTCTGGTAGTTTTTCTTTGAGTCAAGTTTCTTGCTAACGAACTCTCAAGGATATTCAGTATCCAAACCAGAAGATTTATTCTGAGAACAGGAAGTAGCTAGGCTCTCACCAGAGGTAGAAGAAGTTTAGAAGCTAGATGATACAACTGTAAATCTTACAAGAAGAACCTCACATATATTCATTAGCCCACCACTTTTTTTCAATAAAATTTTGTAAAAAGTAGACATTTCAGTTTACTTTCTCCAAAAGATTAATATCACATATACCAATTAATCAGCATTGTTTATCTCCCAAATCGAACTAGTGACAACAAACACGTAAAAGAATGTGCCTCGAATATATTAATATTTCATATAAACAATTCTCCAAAATATATTTTTGACCTCTCTACAACCAGGGTACTATCTGTTAGAGAAAGTATTTTGGATTAAAGTCAAGAAAGTTTTCTCTATCTGGGTTTTACTTAGATATATTAATTAAATAGGTTTAGAGTAGAAACTATCTTGTTTAGTAGTATATAATTTTTACAAGCCTTTATTGGCTTATAATAGTGATATTAGGATAGTATTTTTGTTTTTTCTCATTATTACAATTACCTCCTTCTTTTCTTGTTTGTATCTTTTCATCATTTTTCCCTATATCTCTGTGTTTTTTTCCTTTTTTTTAATATTTCTTGTTTTGTTTTTTTGCTTCTTGATGAGACTGTAGCAGCCAGCTGAGGACTAATAGGAAAAAAGTCTCTTGTAATCTGAGAACCCAGAAGATAGCCAATTGCTATTGAGGCAGACCACATTGGCATCTATAACTTGATTATAGTGTTGATGAGCCTATATTTTGGTTAGACGATATAGGTTACAATACAAGATTGTAATAATTTTGTTAAATATTTCTAGTCTCAAATAAAATAGAGCAGGCAGCCGAATTACAAAAAAAAAGATTTTATTCTTATATAAAAAACATAGTAAATTATATTTTTGTAAATTATAAAATCTTATCCTTTATATGTGGATTGTGAATTAACTATTTCTCACAAATAGTTTTTACAATTACTTTACACTTATAACAAAAGTTGTAAAAATCATTTTCTTAATTAAAATAAATTTTAAATAAAGTCTATAAACCTTATATTGACTTAAATATAGTCAAAAACAATTTTATTTTCTTAAAACTTTCTTTTTAAAATTTTTTTTCTTTATCTCCAAAATTTTTTCTATGCACATCTTCTATTATTTTTTTAACTAGTCTGACTATTATACAAACTAATTTTACCTTATAAAGCACTTGTACAAATATATACTATATGTAAATTTAATACAAACTTATTATTTACTAAATAGTATATTAATACCTAATTCTATTTTATCTTTTACTAAAAATTATTGCCAAAATTCTTTCGATCATACTTGTGTTTCTTTATTCTTTTCTTCTAATTTATTTTGTCTTTAATGATCAGAGACCTGGCACTTAGGAGTCTTTCTACTATATATCTTTCTCTTTATATTTTTTCTTTTGTTTTTTTTAAATACCAAAAAATGTTTTATAAAAACCTTTTGAATAAATCTTCTTTATATTCTTTTTATAATAAATTTAACTAGATCTTCTCTCTTTTATATTGCTACAAGATAAAAAGAATCTTTATATCCAATTCAAATCAGACAAGTCTTTAAATAAATTAGAATTGATCTAGTTAAATCATTACTGATCATGAACTAGAATAATTGCTATATTATTGTAGTAACAAACTATCTAACTTGATAGCTAGAAGCCTATACTGTACTAGACCAGTGTTATCCATTTTGACTGTCCAAAGGCTTTTTTGATACTATTTAACATCCAAGTATCCAAATGTCCACAAGTGTTCAGAGCATATTCAAGCTTTAATAATTAATAAATTTGTTTAAAAAATATATAATTATATATTTTTTTATATGCTAAACATATTTTACTTAGAAATTAAAATAGATTATCTTAATAAAATTTTGAGTAATTTTAATTTATTTAATTGTCTAAAATTGTCCAAAGAGTTTAAACTTACTGTCTACAATTGTCCTGTGACAATACTGTACTAGATGTTGAAGCCAAAACTCTAGCAAGATTTATTTTTGAAGAAATTATCTGTAAATGTGGAACCACTAAAATAATTCTTTTAAATCAAGGAAGAAACTTTATTAGTACAACTGTTTAGATACTATGGAAAAAGTTTTTTATCAAACACAAGTTCCTTTTGCTAGACTAATGAAATGGTTGAATGACTAAATAAAACACTTTGCGAATTGCTTGCCAAGATAAAATAAACAGATAAAGACTAGGATATCTATATATCTGCTATTCTTTTAGTATATCAAACTAAAAGACATACTACTACTAGTTATACACCTTTTCAGTTAGTCTATAAAAAACAAGCTACTCTATTGCAACAATACTATAATCTAATAGAAAAACTGTTTTAAATACAAGAAGAAGCTCAAATCAGTACAAAAAAATCTCAAAAGAAACAAAAAGAATATTTCAATACTAAAATCAGACCAGAAGAGTTTGAAATTAGTAAAAAAGTTTAAATACAACTGAAGGCTTTAAAAAGGTCAAAATTAGTTAAATTCAAAGACAAAAGAGAAAGACCATATATTATCCAAGTGAAATTAAATAATAGAATTTATAAACTATATACATTAAATAAAAAAATATTGCAGAAGAATTATAATAGTAATTAACTAGCAAAATATTATAAGAAACAGATATAAAAACCAATTATTATGATTGAAAATTCTTAATTTCTGGAAAAATTTTATTGAACAGGAAGAGACAAAGACAAAATTTTATAAAACAGACAATTGTACAACTTAAAAATTATAAATAAACTCTTTATTCAAAAATTTCCTAATTTATACTTAATAATATTTTGCAATCCAAGCCCTCCAATACTTTTTACTATTTGAAGACAGGACCCTGTAGCCCAAAACAATTTAGAAATTTGTTTTTTTTGTAAAACTCTAATGATTTTAATAATATTAGTGATATTACTTCTCTAGTAAATATCATAGTAGATACTCTATCTAATCCTATTAATATGAAAGCTTTCTTGAATAATATTTTAACTAAAAAACTAAAAATAAAATGCAACTCCAAATAATCCTCTACCTGATACAGAACCAGAAGTGAATCTACCACTAAACAATCCTTCTCTTGAAATAGAACCAGAACCAGAAACTTATCAAAAAGTCTAAAATAAACTAAT